AGTATTTATTATTTCAAATTACTTATTGCTATAGCAATAAAATCTTTGAAAATATTTTATATTAAAAAGCAAAAGAACAAAATTTATACAGCCTAATTGCTTAGGAATGCTAATTTCTATAATATCATTATTAGAAAACCTAACTAATTAATCTGAAATTACTAATTATATAATAGAATATATATTATATGGAGGATTACTAACTTAATAGGATATCCCTGTTTTCTGATATTCTTGGAGTTTGTAAAATACAAACAGAATCCTCGGCAGGTTCCTTTTATAACCCTTGTAATTTTCATAATATTAAATCATATCCATAATAAGAGTATTAGCATGAAATTCTAATGTATTCAAAGTATACATTGTTTGAACGAAATAGCCTCCTTAACTTAGACTATATATACTACTCTCCTAATATAATATTAACTTTTTATAAATATTTTTGCTTTAAAAGAATCCCCTAATCAGACTTATTCAGGATATATCTTTTTTTTTTACTTTTTATTTACGATTAATCTTTGAGATATAATTGATTAAATATATTGGAATTGAGAGAATAAAGTTAAAGTTCTATTCAAAATAAAGTCTAAGCTTTTTATTATTATCCTTATCCTTATCCTTATCTTTATTTTTATCTTATCTCTAAAATAAGAACTTCAAGATAATTAGTTTTAAACTAGTACTGTTCTTTCAATTTAATAAATAATTTAATTTTGATTTCATAATTAGAAAATTCATTCAATTCTACTTTCAAATCAATATCAATTTTTCGAAAAATATCAATTTTTATTGTATTTCGAGGTGCTGACCATACTAGATTTTATAGGTGGTCACCACCCCCCTAGTAGAAAGTGGTCACCACTAGTGGTGACCGCCTATTATTCCTTCGGAATAATAGTTAGAATCTATATTCAAAATTTCATTTAATTAGATTCAATATTGATAGAATTGTGAATATTCGAAAATCACTGTTTTTGGTGTGAAAGGGTGGCCCGAAAGTAGGGTAGTTGACTTAGTGTGTATATGATAGGTGCAGGTAGGTATAGGTAGTCACGTGTAGTGAACCCGTGATAGTTATTAGAACTTTTTGAATATTTATTATTTTATATACGATTTGTATATAAGTAAACCAGGGGAACTTGCAATTTGTCCGTTTTCTCGACGTTGAATCTGTCAGAGGATGCTGAAGGACTTCTCCATTCCTTCTCCCTCGCAAACACATCAAACAAGCCGTCAGAAACTTTCTCTCGTTTGACAAACTCCGTCATCTCGTGATTGGCCTCCTCGATCCGGGCCCATTGAGGCTCGAGATATCGAAGAGCATTTCGACGATACTCCTTGAAAATCTCAGCCTCACCTGATACCGCTGCATCTTTGGCCATTGAAAGCGCATATTCAAGTGGATGGAAGGTTGGCGCGTGAAACGGATTGAAAGCTCCTGTGCGAAGATATTTTTTATGATCCAAATCTCTGTCGTCAAGGTCGATTATGTCTTCTCGTCTCAATCCCAGCTGCATCTTGTATGATGGATACCGCTCGAACGCTTGTGCATAAGCTGTTAGAGCCTCATGCATCATGTGGAGGAGATCGACAGGTTGTTGACTAGTCGTAAGTGTCTGCAATTCCTCTATCAAATCCGCAGGGATTTCCAGTTCCCCATCTTTGTCATGGACCTTAAAAAGACCCTCCCGCTCATTATCGGAAGCAAGTTCAATGATATCAGGAACATCGCTTGCATATGCATCTTCGATGTCCAATCGACGGAGGTTGCGAAGCATTCTCAAAGGTTTGAAAATATCATCAAACCGGTTAGATCTATAGAAGCCGGTGTGACTTTTATCCAGGCCGCAAGGAATCAACAACACTTCTAGGTAGGCTGGTGGCTTGACACAAATAGATTGGCAGAATTCATCTAGAGACCATATCGGATTCCATTGACCACCAGGATCGCTGAGTCTGCTAACCACCACCCGCCAATTTTGAACTTTGCGTACATTGGAGTAATTGCAAAGGTTTGTAATTGGGAATGGTACGGTGGTGAGACCGTTCTCGTATCTTGTGAGAGGGCATAGCTCCACCTGAGGACCATCAACAGACACTGTACCACCTTCATCATCTTCTTCATCATCAGAATAATACCATGGTGTTGGATAAGGATCATTAATTACTCGGAAACAAGCAATATAGGTGTTTTTTTTTGCGTAGAGAACAGGTAAAGCTTCATCGTGAATTTGATGACAAAGTCTCAACACCTGTGGGGACAAGTCGTATTGTAATCTTGCTCCAAACCCTGAGCTCTGAGTTACTGAGTCTGCTGTACCCAGAATATCATTGACTAGCAAGCATTCGTAGATTTTGAGCCTCACTTCGGGAGGAAACTTCTTCAAGAACGCGCACACATCGACCGAATCGCGGATGCGAAGAGCATCGATTCCATTTTTGGTGAATTCCATTGCAGAATGACTGCGAAACAATCAGTATGTGAGCACTTTCATTGTTTGAAAAGCTGTGAGTGTTTGAATATAACTTGATAAACCAAAATGACTCAAAGATCCAAATGGATTCAAGAATCAAGAATCAAGAAACCAGAATCTCCCATAGTGGAGCTGCAGTGCAGACTTTTGGCTACCCTGGAAACAAAGATGCGACTCACTCACCTTTTAAAATAATCCAACTGAATCAGATGTACTTAAATGTGTGATAGCTTTGCCGGAAAGAATGTTTCTTGAATGAAGTTGGCTGAAGGAGGAGGAAAAAAGATTGAAGAACTTATTTCTAGCTTTCTGCACCTGCCTAGGTGTCTTATGGCGACGTTTATGGGAAAGAGCTTTGAAGGAGAGAAAGAAAGAATCCCAAGATGATTCAGAAACAGGAAAAGCCCTCTAATTTCCCTTGGAAAACTGACCCAGTTGCAATTCCAACAACAAAGTGAATAAAATTTGTATTTGATATATACCGAACCGAGATGACCAAATCCAAGATAACTTCTGATTGTAATCTTCGGCAAAACTCTATTTTATATAATCTGTCGAATGAATTGGACTTCTCAAAGGGATTAATCTCCTGATATGATTAAACCATTCAGATGAGTTGAACCTCTTGAATATTGGAAATTGAGGAAAAAGAGTGTTAAATGAGGAGATTCCGGATAAATTACCAGAGGTCGGGTCCAAAACACCGATAAAGCCTCCTATTGCAGGAGAATGATATCAGCCCAGGAACATAACCTTCCATCCTATATACTTCTGATCTAGGATATGGGGTAAGTAATATTGCTCATCATTGATGCCAAGCAAGCTTGATGATTTGATTGGATGACTGGACAACTGTTTGTTGCTTTCACAATGTGCATATACAACAAACTTGAAGCATGCAAGTGTCCATGAAAACCAACCTACACTTTTCGAAATATTGAGTGGCTTGTGTATTGTTGAAGAGAGAGATGTCATATTGTGTATTCGATAATATGCAATCTTTCATCAACAGAAGTCCTGATCATCTGGATTCAGCTCTAGGTTTTGAATCTGAGTTTCCTTCTCTGGTTTTCAATTTGCATCCTAAAGCTTTTTGACAACAATACCATTCCCCTTTTCATTCAAACGGAGTAATATCAGCATCCTTTGGCATCATCATTACATCCTGCAACCATTCAACATATGCCGGGAATCCAGACACACTCCCATACACTTTTGCTTTCTTCAAATCTCTCACACCCTCAAAGAGTCTCAATACTTCATAGTCGGAGCCCCTGTACGTAGATTGTTCAACCCTTATTGTCAATTCTTCCATTCCATTAAAAGCATCCTCTGCTTTCACTGCAGAGAAATTGGGATCGCAATCCAATCGCACAACGATGTAGTATTTGTTGATGATTGATATCAACCGTGAAGAGCTGATAGTATCATATTTCCAACGCAAGCGCGGTAGACCCGTTAGGAGATTTGGGTGGGCTATGAAGACATTGCTACCGTAAAGGATTTGTTGGGCTTCATCGTGGACTTTTCGACATACGGATAGGATTTGAGGATATATTGGGGGGTCACTTCCTAGAGGACGGGGTGCTGAGATAGGTGGGACGATGAGAAGTAAATGGTAGATTTGGTTACGGATTTCTCCTGGGAGATCAAGGAATGTGAGTGGCGGCATTATTTGTGATACAGTTCTTTGCCCACTGCATTGGTTGAAGGATGCTTGATTTTTCGTTGCGATTTATATGAAGGGAGATCAGATTATGGATCAATACCCAATATCGCTGGAGTAAGAGTATCCTCAAATGTTCAACGATATTAACTACATGAAGTTGTTTGTGAAGTTGAATACCCTTAATAAGAGATTACGATTACTGTATTGATAAGAATCTAAATTTAGTACGTGTTCACACGTGATGGCTTGCTCACTGAGACCTCGATCAGTTGGCATTCATGGATCAATCATCTACTTAGTAGGTACATACTTACGGATTTCTTTCATATCAATCCATCTCTTTTTTACATGTACCGGTATTACCGCCATTCATGACATCGTTTTCATCATGGCAACTTCATTCCTTCAAGTACTTTCCTATTTGTTTGGTTGGATATACACAATATGCTGGTCCCTTTCTTTCTATCCCCAACCCTTCTTGAACTTTAAGCGCAAATCTACATCTGGTGCCGCCATCGATTTTCCTTTCCTCAACGTGTTGGGATTTGCTGCATACTTTGTATCTACAGTCTCATTTCTTTACGCGCCTGAGATTAGACGTGAATATGCTCTACGAAATAATGACCATACTCCAACTGTTCAGTTCAATGATCTCGCTTTCGCTGCCCACGCGCTCTTTATGTGCTTTGTTATAATATCACAATATGATCCATCTATCTGGGGATTCGATAAACGGGGTAAAAGAGGCCCTGGAGCAAGAGTCAGCAAGTCTATTTTGGGTTTGTCTGGGGCATGTATTGTTGGAGTCGTAACTTCAGTGGTTATTGTTCTTGCGCGTCGAGATGAAGATGTTGTAACAGGATGGGCATGGATCGATGTGGTACGTGGAAATCAGGCTGCATCATAATGTTACACCTGTACTAATCTCATCTCTCACAGGTTTATGTCATATCATACGTCAAGCTTATCATCACGACTGTCAAATACATGCCTCAAGTTCTCACGAATTATCGCAATCGATCCACAACAGGTTGGTCGATAGGAGGTATCTTACTCGACTTTGCAGGTGGAGTCCTATCGATTTTACAATTGGGAATTGATAGTTATCTCCAAGGAGACTGGTCGGGAGTAACAGGTAACCCTGTGAAACTTATGCTGGGTAATGTGAGCATCTTTTTCGATGTTATTTTCATTGTTCAGCATTACATTCTATATAAAGGGAACGGGGGTGATACACCGATAGATGAAGAAGACCCTCTGCTTGAGCCGGATAGAGAGCAGATAATCGAATAGAGATGCAGATGTAGGACGCGTTTCTCCACAACATTACAGATACCCAGCGTTTGGATAATCAATAGAGGAGGATATTAGTTTTCGTTTTCAATGTAAGATATCGGCAAATAAATACATATGCCTCGAGCGTTGCAAGGTCAACCGTTTTTCGTTTTCTCATTCCAAGTGGTATACTTGCACCATGATATGTTTTTGTTGATAATTAATAGCTTTTGCTCGCCGTCATGTACTCGGTGCTGGGAACCAAGAAAATACGTCACCTATTGGTATGATGTCAACATCCACCCAAATCCTTAGTTTTCTAGGTTGATGAAAGATAGAAGATGGCCTCACAGAGCGTTTCAAATCTTTATATATTTCCAGAGAAACGGTTCCTCTATATCAAATAACACAAATCTCACAGCGGCTTTAGCTCACTTGGGAGAGCGCCAGACTGAAGTTAACTTCAGATCCTTAACAGATCCATCTGTTTATCTGGAGGCACTGTGTTCGATCCACAGAAGCCGCATTCTGCGAGTTGAGGCCCACCTCAACTGACTATTTTTTTTTTCTTTGTTGAGCTTGACATTGCACCATCGTGAAGATTTTCACGAATTAAAAAGCTTATCTTTTTAGTTAATGCTTCATGACAGTCCACTAGAAGACCCGAAGAAGAGGGACTAAACGGTGGATAGTGGATATTGGTGGAACAATTCGTTCATATGAATAGATGGGAACGAATGAGAGAGCTATAAATGATGATTTAGCCAATCTTCCAAACAAGAGCCCACCGAAACCAAGTGGCGGGGTTTAACGAGTAATCATCAACGAGATCGCTAATTTGTTGACTCGTATGCCGAAGATTCCCCATATATCACATTCCAATTTCCGACGACTCTGTATGGCCTTAACATGAATTCATATCAAACTAGTAAGCCTAGCCAAGCTCTACCCCTGAATGCTTACCGTTAACTTTTTCTTCCGTGCTTCCAGTCTAGCATGAAAATATTACATGAGAATTTAGATTTTTTGTGGCAATTATCAGGGGAACAGGATGCTCCCCGATGTCTAGACTACGCGTAAAGATTTCATTTCACACATTCGACAACTATCTTGGTGATGGCGTGCTCTTTCAGGGATGTAGAATTTTTATTCAACAGGGAGATAAAAATGTCAAGTAATCCAGACGCAATGAGTATTCCTATTCCTAACTTTTTCTTCATTATTCCACAACAACATCCATATTGAGGACCGTCTATATCGTATTGGTGAATAGAGAATTGAATCTTAGCTGCATTCGAAGTATCCACCATGTCGAGCAAGACTCACAATTCACAAGATTTAGGCATCCATGGATCGCCTTCTCAGACATCTTTGGATCAACCAGGGAAACCAGATATTGCCAATGGCGAGGTCGTCCATTCGGCATCGGGACATCTTGATGCTGTCTATGGTGTAGGTGGTGTCGGACATACGCAGAGAAGATTGAAGGCAAGACATGTAACCTTCATTGGTTTTGGTGGTGGTATTGGTACGGGTCTTTTCATCGGTACAGGTGCAGCGTTAGCCAACGCTGGACCTTTGGGTCTACTCTTGTAAGTCGAAAGCCTGTTAGCACAAAATTTTACAGTGATGGATATTAACAAATCCTAGGGCTTACAGTGTTGTTGGTCTTCTGCTCTGGTGTGTGATGGAGTCAATTGGAGAATTGGCCACTCTTGTAAGTTGACATGAACTTTGTCACCTGCTGGACAAAAACTCACTTTCTTCAGTTCCCAACTGCTGGATCTTTCCCCCATTTCGCTACTCGTTTCGTCGATCCTGCTCTCGGATTTACTCTTGCCATCTCGTACGGTTATTGTTACACCATCGCAATTGCCTCCGAAGTTTCCGCCGCCGCTATCGTAGTATCTTACTGGACCGATATCTCACCCGCTCTCGTAATATCCGTTGGACTGGTTGCCATTTTCCTCATCAATATCGTGAACGTCAAGTTCTATGGTGAAGCTGAGGTCATCACTGCAGTTATCAAAATCCTTTGTTTCTTAGGCTTAATTATTGTTTCTCTGGTTATCACATCCGGAGGTGCGCCTAATCACGAAACTATCGGATTTAGATATTGGAAAAACCCAGGACCATTCGTTCCGTACGATGGAATCACGGGTAACACCGGTAACTTCCTTGCATTCTTCAGTGCATTTATCAATGCCAGTTTCTCGTACATCGGAGTTGAGACTGTCGTTGTGGCTGCAGGTGAGACTGAAAACCCTCACAGGTCGATCCCAAAGGCCGTCAAACGGGTTACTTATCGAATCTTGTTCTTCTACGTCCTCGGTACGCTCCTCATCGGAATGATTATCCCTTCCAATGATGCGGCCCTCACCAGTGGTACCGGTAACGCGAACTCCTCCCCATTCGTCATCGCTATCAAGAACTCCGGCATTTCTGCTCTCCCATCTATCGTCAACGCCTGCATCCTTATCTCCGCCTGGTCAGCAGGAAACAGCTACTGTTACATTGGTGCAAGAATGATTGTAGCCATGGCCGTTGATCGTCAAGCCCCACAATGCTTCGCCAAAGTCAATCGCTACGGTGTACCATACTGGGCCGTTCTCGTTTCCTTCGCCTTCGGACCATTAGCCTATCTCAGTCTCGGATCAGGAGGTGCAGCCCAAGCATTCACATGGTTACTCAACCTCAGTACCGTAGCAGGTCTCCTCGCATGGATGACCCTCTGCATCTGCTACATCCGATACCACCACGCCTGCATCGCGCAAAACGTCGATCGTAATAACCTCCCCTTCAAAGGCCGTTGCCAACCCCTCGCCGCCTACGTCGGTGCCATCGGTTCCGGCATCATTGTCATATTCTCCGGTTTCGGCGTCTTCATCAAGGGAAATTGGAGCACGGCCAATTTCATCGCTAGCTACATCGGCATCATCATCTACATCGCCCCCTACGTATTCTGGAAGATTTACAAGAAAACAAAAATCTCGAGATCAAAAGACGTGGATCTTTACTCGGGCAGATTCGATGGGAGTAATGCTCCAGTCGAACCTATACCTACGACTATGTGGGGTAAGTTCTTGGATTGGCTGATTTAGACTAGATGGGAGGAGATGGGAGGAGAGGAGAGCAGAGGTGGGAGGGATTTTAGATTTTTTGTAATTATTAGTTATGAGCATTTTTCAACATCATGATACTTAGCGTTTTAACAACTCTTATACCCCATCAATTTCAAGCATTTTTATTTCAAAGCCATGGAATGGAGCATTTGATACATGGGTTATTTGAACTTTGAACTTGTGATTTAATGACGAGGAGAGGAGGCTTTTGATGGTACGCAAGCTAGCTAGCTAGCTAACTAATAACTCTAGGTTTGATCCTTTACATCCATCCAGTCTTACGAGGCGAAGCCCCGATGTGTCATCATGTGGTGCCTGCCAGTGCGACATATCATATCATATCACATTCCCATCAATATGAGATTGACACACGATACAATCCTCGAGAGTCGACATCGACATCGATATCGATACGCTCGAAACGAAAGCCATATTCTGAATATCGTACTTCATCTTCATCTCATATACTCATACAGTACAGTCAGTACATATTGAAATGAAAAAACCGGACAGAATACCAGGTCACTTACTTCTTGTTCTTCAGATAGATGCTGGCTGAATCAGTAATCAGTAATCAGTAGCGATTACAAACAACATAAACAATACAGTCGCGCCAAAATGGCAATTTTTCTCAAAACACATCCTCGTACTATAGTCTGTCTGTCTAGCTAGCTAGCTTATTTGAATAGATAGATAGATAGATAGATAGATAGATAGAGATGAATTTATTATACGTTTGATCAGAAGTTTGATCCGAATGAAATTCTCGAGAAGTGGCAAGTGGCAAACTTGTGTGGGTTAAGTTGTTGATGTGTTTGTTGATATGTTGGAAATGGAGGAAAAGAGGAAGAGGATTGTAGATCAATCAATAAACGAGTGAGATTCACTCGGAGCTAGTGGTCGAGGTGGGTACAGACGAGTTATATCTGTGCAGAGGAGCTTTTATTGCTTCTTTTTATTCACGAGTGGGCTCACTGTGTTTTCACTTTCACATGTCATCTAAATTGGAATTATGTTTTAATCTTATTTAATTTTTTATTAGAATCTATATTTGTATTTACATATCATTTTTCAAATGCAACTTGAACTCCGAGTTCAGACTCGGGTATCTTTCATTTCACGTGTTAGATAGATCATGTTTACATAACAAAGAAATCTAGGTTACCTGTTTAGGAAATTCGTTTCACGCATGTTTGTGAGTCGTGAGGGACATCAAAAAACATCAAGTGAGAGAAAAGAAAAAATGGAAAAGAAAAGCAGTAGCTCAAGGCCACCACTGATCGTCCATGTCTTGCTCAGCCCACTCTTCAACCCATCTGTCCCAATCTTCTCCTGACCATAGTGTCTCGTCGCCCGATGATTCTTGTTCTTCTGGTGATGGTGGTGAGGGACCAATGAGGCGGCGAGAATCGGTAATGTTTTCGGCCTCTTGTTCCATGGCATCAATCTCCATTGGTGTGGTGTCAACGAGAAGAGGCTGTCGTTCAGCTTCTTGTTCTTCTTCGTGTCTCTGCTCGGCTTCTCTCCTGATTCGGGCATCTCGTTCGTTTTCCAAATAGGTGATGAGCTCCAATGCATTGTCCGATCTGATTTGAATCAACTCCACGTCATATTCCGAGGGATAGACATTACACTCTATCCGGACCGTCAACAACCTGGTGCATTGACCGATGAGCATGGATGCACACATGGCTTGAGAATGGGATTCACGAACCAATGTGTCTGCCCTCTCAAGCAAACGGTCGAGTCCTGTCATGAGTCCTGCGAGTCTTTGTCTCATTGATGTGAAGACATTGCCTGGTGCATCGGCTTCATTCGGGAGTTCAATCCGGCCTGGGAGCGCCTCTGATGTGTGTCCATGAAATGATTCGGGAACTCCTGCGAGAGCCCAAAACATGCGTGTTGCGATGGACATGCGTGCGGCGTTGAAGATAATGAGTTGAGCTGGAGCTATCTGTGCCAAGTAGGCTCTGTAGGCATCCAACAGTTGCCACCATCGGTCGAAACTTGGTCTCAAGGGTCCTCCCATTTGAGTTTCAAATTGGACCACCCATTGACGGAAAGGGATGCGAGTCACCAATGTGTTTGGTGTGACCATTTCACTGGTGTCCGTTGAGAAGTACCGAGCTGTGGGGTCAAAGTCAAAGGTTTCTTCATCCAAAGCGTGCTGTCGCATCACTTCAACGCGGAAGTCTTCCTCGATTATGTCTGATGCGCCCCTTTTCCGCAAGAGCGCAATATACTCGCTGATATCGCGACGGAGTCTATCTTCAGTAACGTTTCGACCCCGCACTCTTTCGTACGAGAGAGCAAAAATGCCAAATGTAAATTCGTAGTCTCGATCCGCTTCTTTCTGGATCAAGTTTAATGCGCGGTTGAACCTCAAGGCCGTTGCAGTTTCGCTCATAGCGAATTCCCTGTCTTTATCGGTCATGGATCTGTCACCACGATCGATTTCAGCTTGCCTCTTGAGACATTCGTCGAACCTCTTGTCCTCGTTAACAGCCATCATGATTGCATTCTCGACCTCATCACTGATTTCGCGGATGAGTTCCGAACGGGCTTCTGCAACCATCTGACCAAGTCCCGTCAACCGATCTCGTTCTTCCCTAATTTTAGCTGCATGAATGTCAGTGAACCCTACACAAAATCGATGTAGTCTCTTTTGATCTTTCCAGAGAGCATAGCACCTGGTAGCAATTGCTTCATCGGCCAAAGGAAATGGTCGCTCTGAGCGCGAAAATTCCAGGATTGCCTTGACTCTTCGATGATCCTCAGTGTTGCGTTGTGCCCTTATTTCGGCTTGTCGTCGGTTTGTCAACTTGCAACTCTTTCAAGTTTGGATTCGTCGATGTCGACCTCGGATGGCGTGAGTGGGAGTTGGGGTTTGTACCTCGGGGTATTGATCGCATTTTGAGACGTAGTCAATAAATTCCTTGTGGCATTGCTTGCATTATACTCGGTTTGCGAAACACATCTTGTGCGGTTGTTTGTGTGTGTTAAGTTCAAAAGTTTGAGTTCTGAGCTTTACTTGAGTTGAAGATGTGTTTCTGTTGTGATTAAGCTTATGAGTAAGCTTATGATTGATGAGATATCAGTGAAGAAGCAAGAACTAGCTTGAACTGTCACTTCAATATTTATACAAAAGACAACAGCATTGTACATCTTCTGTGGTCTCAGTCAGGAATAGTTCCCTGCCCTGTTGAAACGGTAAAGTATTCGTCCACAACATATGAACAATGCGATTGTCTCGCAACTTACCTATGATCTACATACTTGTCGAACAACATCGGTCAATTGTTTTTTCTTTGTTAGGTTGGAACAAAGAAGATATCTGTTCACGATCTCCGAACAATGCGATTGTCTTGCAATCTACCGCAATAATCAGCTGTGACTTACTGGATTCGTATGGTCTCAATATCTTGAACAACGTTGATCAACCGTTCAGCATTTACCTTCACATCGTCCTTGGCCATACTGCCATGTATCGATTTCATGATCCAAACGATTGGAACTTCTTTTTTCGATATGATCTCGTCTTCTCCTCCACCCGACACTGCACTTCTTCTCCAAAATCTCTGATGTATCAAATATACGATCACCATCATGCAACAACACCGCCGCAGGGGTCTCAATCAGTGAAATCTATCTCCAGGGCCAAACAAGAAGCAATCCGCAGCATTAGGTCAACAGTCCCCTTGTCATTATTGCGTCCAAATTTAGATTCAAATCATGTCGCTGAAAGACACCAAGACAATATGAAGTATCCAGTGAGTAACTATACAGCTTGGCGGAAGAAGAGTAGAGCTTTCTTCTCTCAAACAGCGTTCAATGCTCAAATAAGATCCATTCTTGGAGTGAAATCTGATATCAAGGAAAAAACAAGATAGGAATACATTGAAATATCCACCGAGTAATTATACAGCTTGATGATAAAAGAAGAGTAGAACTTTCTTCTCTCGAAAACAGCGTTCAAAGCTCAAGTGAGGTTCGATCTTGGAGTGAAGTCTGATGTGAAGGAAAAACAAGATAGGAATATATTGAAATATCCACCGAGTAACTAACTATACAGCTTGGTGGTAAAGAAAGAATAGAAGAACTATCTATCTCCTCTCAAAACAGTATTCAATGCTCAAATGAGATTCCTTCTTGGAGTGAAGTCCGATTTCAAGAAAACATAAGATGAGAATACATCAAAGTCTCCACCCCTCATCAACCAACAACACACACTCATCCGAACCAACTCGCGCCATCATATTCACTATCAAAAATCCGCTCTTCGGATTCCCAATAAAATTTAACCCGATTTACCTTTCTTCAACAGCCGTATTGTACGACTTTCCTATTTAGATCTCTTCGCCTCAACGTCGCGTCCACAATTTACAATCTTCAATCTCAACAACAAAAACAAAAACAAAGATTTCGTCTCGATATACTGCGGTCTGCGGTCTTTCATCAGTTGCTGCTTATCTCTTGCTTGCGACCAAGGAAGAAATCACAACACAACAATAAATAAACCATCATTGCCCAACCTATCCAATCCATCGCCTCGATCATTAGCTTTCCACGCGACAAAAACAAACCATCAAAATCCGACTTAAAAAACCGACTTCAACAAGAATTTTAATCTCAACTTCAATCTCGCAACTACACCTTGCCCAGCCTAGCTCAGCCAAAATGTGCAAAACAACCCACACCCACTTCACCTGCCGGTGCACACATCTCATCGTACATTCCTGCGCTTTGGACTTTCCGCTCGGTCGTCTCGTCTGTCCGCCGCCTCATCTCGTTAAGAAAGATATATATGTGTATGCAGACTGTGATGATTGTCTTGTCGCATTTAGCATCCGAGAAGAGAGGGCTGCGAAGAAGGCGAGTGAGAGGTGGATGAGTATGATTGGGGAGGTCATGGGTGAGGTGATGGGTGGGGAGGAGGGGGATGCTGATGGTGTGGATGGGGTGGATATAGATATAAGTGAGGAGGATAGGGAGGAAATTAGAGACGGGGATATGGTGGAGATTGCGGAGGGGGTGGAGATTCAGAGGGGGGTTGGATGTGGGGGAATTGAGGAAGGGGAATGGGAGGGAGAAGTGTTTGATATGGAGATGGAACTCGAGCGAGATTTGAGAGTTTTGGTAGGGAAATATGAAGCCGAAGCTGACAACGAAACCGAGGATTCGCAGTTGGAAACCGCACAATTAGATATTCAAAACGAGATCGACCAGGCCGATGACGACACTGGCGAAAACGACGATATTGCGGCAGCAGCACAACTATTAGCGGCACTGGGCCAAGTCGAAAACTCAGAGATGATCACTGAGGGTGAGGGTGAGGGTGAAGATGTGGAGGATAAGGATGAGGATGAAGATAGGGAGTTTTCGGAGCATGTACAGACGATTATGAAGAATTTGAGAAAACTTCGTCGGGAGAGGAGAGATATGCATGTGAAGATTGGAGCTACGGATATTGAGCGGCAAGAAGAGGCGCGATTACTGATCAGCGATTGTGAGGAAAGGGGAGAAAGTGCCAGTGGGCAGTGTGGATTTGGTTTATAGTTCTGAGATTGGATTGTGGTTGGTGTAGTTTAGGTGATGCACTTGCATGAGAGTTTTCATTTCTCTGAAGATATTAATACAGTGTAACAAAATCAGCCAAAGACTTCCTTCAAAGACTTGATTCACTGTTTCCGGCTCATGAAATTGATGACCCTCATTTTTGCGGAATACTTTCACTTTCATGCAACCTCATCATCCCATTTCGCTCGTCATTCGAAACTATTCAAAGCCATGTGGCATGAATAAGTTTACGCGCAATGATAGATTGAGCTCGAATCACACGATGAAAACAATATGTGCAAGAATCAACGTGAAATTGCGACTAACTAAAGGGGAATCTTACATTATGCAACGAACGCCCTTATCTATTAATTTTGCAACCGATGCACCATCCATTCTAATATTGACGCCATCCCAAGATCCATCACCTCGCTCAATTTTCAGTCCATAGATACGATATTGTGTATCGAAATGAAATCATGAGTTCAATACATCCCATGCTAAATTTGATATTTAACCCCGATAGATACTATCCAACTCCGGAAAATACTGTGCTAGCTTATTTCTACTCTCTGAATCCCTCACGAGTTCCGGAGTGTCAGGTATGTCCATATAATCAACTCCCGAAATTCCATTTGAGGCTCCAGCGCTCATGGTATTCGCCGGGATATGTACCAGTGTAGGAATGAGTGGTGCTGCCGCACGTTTCTTCTTCGTGTTGCCCTGTTCCCAGGATTTGGAGGAAATGGCGGTAGGGCGAATAGCTACGGGAGTGGCATGTCGAATGTCTGAGATTATTGACGTATTCGATATGTTGTTCACTGTGTTGGGGTTATAGTTTTCTCCTGGTGAAAGCATGGCTGATGATGGGTTGAGTGTTTTGGCGAGTGATTGACGTAGTGACATAGACGCAGGGGGGGCTGGCGTCGTAGCTGGGGTTGATTTCTCGTTGGTGACGAGGCCTTTATCGGTAACAAACTGGGAGGACCGCGAATGATATGGATTGTGGTTATAGTACTCGTCGATAATTGGATGTACCATAACTGTCTGCTTGTGAATTGTCAAAGTGGAGTTGGTTGGAACTGTTACCCAACTTTCTGTAAACGTATTAGCAATGTCCAATTCACGTGGCTTGTAAGAATGGTATTGCCGAACAGGTTAGTCGATGTAAGCAATATGCCAAATTTTGGAGAGGGGCTCTTTCGAAACAAGCGAGAGAAACACTGGCTGCCTCGCGGCAGCGACATGGAACAATGCAGGGGGTTTGAACTTCGCCTATCTGCCGATGTGCAACATAAAGAAGATTTTCAGTTCTAAGTTTTCGTTCAAAGATTTCCTCGGAACCAAAATTCCTAGTGAGCGGAAATATTGTGTTGCTGGGATGCACTAGCGTCCCTTGTGTCCCGACCGCTGACAAGATCAAAGGATCAGGAATAAAATGCCAGCAATATAAGAATTAAGGGAAGATAATTTACCTCTTTCGAATGTTAAAGGTTCGCTTGCAACGAGGACGATATCAGCACCCTTGTCTCGACGATCCATTTGGTATTCGCCCTTGTTACCTTTGTCTTCCCATGTTGTACCAGAAGAATAATACAGACTAGCTGCTTCATCCGTTTTACTACTAACATAACGAGTACAGACAACACTATGTCCATCGGTGATTGCAAAATTCAGCAAGCTTCGAATATCGAGGTCCTCATCTTCAATGGTCTTCTCTGGGATTGCCGCAATAAAATCGTTGATCTGCTTGATAGTATCGAGCATGGCGTGCCTTAAAACAGTTGGGCCAAAGCCCTCAGCCGGTGGAGCACTGGGGTTATGTCCCATTCTCTCAAGTGTATCCAAGTATAATGCGAATGCCCATTCACTGTCGGTGCCTCCATGAACGCCAAGATACCATTTATCTGCCAATCTTTCACCCAGGCGTCGTTTTATGTGTTTCCAACCACCTAATCCACCATTATGCATCCACATCAAGCTTCCATGAGAGAAAGGATGGCAGTTGTCATCACTCAGGGAACCCTCCGTTGTAGCTCGTACGTGAGCAAATATGAGCGGTGAGGCGGTCTTTGAGGCAATTCGTTGGAGGTTGATGCAATTCCACGCAGGAATTGTAGATGTGAAGATACATGGTTCTGGTCCAAGTTCAGGCTCCGTGTAATAGCCAATACCAAATCCATCACCTACAAGTGTTACAAGTCACTATGCTGTCAAGTATAGAAGTCCACCAAGTACGCACCATTGTGAGGTCTTCTCATATCTAAACGAAGACGAGAGTCGAAGGATTGATTAAGTATCGAGTGGGTAGGTTCCAGGATGATTTTAGAAAGTAGAATGGCATCTGAGCCTTTGTATACCTTACTATCATCAATATTCTACTGCTTTTCGGAGAGCTTGAAGTAGTTTGACTCACCAGAAAGCGACACATCTTAATCTTCTGCCGAAGTTTGTATTCTTGAGATTCAGCGGTCTTGAAAGTTTGCTAGAATAACTCGATTGATACGAATGAGAGATAGGTGTGCCGTAATTATTGCCAACAAATTCGAGAATTGTGTTGAAAGTTGTTTGCTCACTCTTAAGGAAGGAGAGCACGAGGCTGAAAGGAGAATACTCTAAGTAACGGTATGGCGCAATGTTGGGACTGAGACATGAACTAATAGGAAAGCCCAACGAATGAAACAAGCAGGTTGAGAAAGGTTAAATTAAATAGTTCTCTTTATTCTTAAAACAGAATATCTTTAAAATATGTACGACGCAAATGTATAATACCTATATACAAGGAAAAGAGCAAACAAATGTTGTATATGAACGTTATGTTGTGGAGTGAGTGTTATCGTTCGATAACCTCAAGGCTGTAAATTTTGATGATTTCTTTGATCTTCTCCTTTCTTTTTTCAGCCGCCCGCCAAAGTGAAGTCTGTTATCAAGTCACAATCACAATCCATATCCATCAGCCACAGATAACCAATGTACGCCACATCTGATTTGACCTTTATTCATGCAAGAACACATGGAATTCAAACCCCCCAATTACTTTAAAGTGGATAACAAAACCAGCAGAATGAAATTTATTGCTTCATGATTTTATAACCTCCTAAAGGATTCCTGAAGGATCGATACAACCTTAAGTCTACCCAGTATGAGTGGGAGGCTGTTATCGGCGAGGCTTCTGCCCGCGGCTCAACGTATCAACTCACAGTCTGCCCGACATTTCCATCATAATACGGTATCTACCGCTGGTGGTCTCCTCAGATCAGATTCTGCCGTTCGTATTGCGAGAGGAAGGTTATGGCCAGCTGGACATACACCCTTTTCAAATGCTGTAGTCGTTCGAAATGCTTCTTTTGTTCGCATCCTCCCGAATCTGTTGCTAAAGTTTGCAAGAATACCGGCGCTCTTCGCTGGAGTGACGGTTGGCGGTCTAGCATATATACAATACCAGGCTACCCGTTAGTTTGTCCACCCATCCATCTAGAGACACTACTAATTTTGAACTTCTGCAGAGGCTGGTAATTATGTTACAGAAATATTTAATCAAACAACGAACACTGTGACTGGCGTGGCAGGAGGTTTATTCGGCAATGCAAAGGATATTGCAAGTCAAACACGACAAGGATGGGAGAAGACAAAAGAATCTGTTGAATTGCCGGAGTGGATGCAAAAGGTATTACGGATCCATGAAGAAATTGGGGAAGGGAATGGTGGAGGTGGGGGTGGGGGCCCTGGCGGGGAACCACCTAAACAAAGCAGAATGGGAGCTGCGGCTGTAGGAGGAAGTGCTGCCGCATATGGATATGATCAATATACGGAGGACGACAGATCTCCGGTAGCTGCTGCTCGAGATGACCAAATGATGGTTTTGACCAAGAAAATGATTGAGATTAGAAGCATATTGCAGACTGTTGGGCAGTCAAATGCTCTTACTTTACCCTCAATCGTTGTTATTGGATCACAATCATCAGGGAAAAGCTCTGTGTTAGAAGCAATTGTTGGACATGAATTCTTACCCAAGGGATCGAACATGGTCACACGACGACCCATAGAGTTGACCCTTGTCAATACTCCTGATTCCCAAGCCGAGTATGGAGAATTTCCTGCTCTTGGCTTAGGAAAGATTACCGACTTCTCACATATCCAGAGGACGTTAACAGAATTGAATTTGGCTGTTCCTGACACAGAATGTGTTTCTGATGATCCAATCCAACTAACCATCTCATCGCCTCATGTCCCCGACTTGTCCCTTATTGATCTTCCCGGATATATCCAGGTTGTGGGTGAAGATCAACCTTTGGAGTTGAAGCAGAAAATTTCAGACTTATGCGACAAGTACATTCAACCTCCTAATGTTATTCTTGCTATTTCTGCTGCAGACGTGGATCTAGCCAACTCAACAGCTTTACGTGCAAGCCGAAGAGTTGACCCACGAGGTGAACGAACAATTGGTGTTATCACGAAGATGGACCTGGTTGATCCTGCGAGGGGAGTTTCCATTCTTAATGACCGAAAATACCCCTTAAGACTCGGTTATGTTGGTGTTGTGTCACGAGCACCACAACAATCACAAACAAGATCGTTATTCAAAGCAGGTAGTGGAAGCATCGCGGAAGCTATTATCAAGAACGAGCATGCATTCTTCTCTTCTCATCCTATGGAGTACGGACCTGATGCTGGACTCAATGTCGGCACTACAACGCTACGGAAGAAACTCATGCATGTCCTCGAAAAGACAATGGCGGCGAGCCTTCAAACTACCAGTGATGCTATTCATCAAGAACTTGAAGAGGCTACCTATGAATTCAAAGTTCAATACAACGACCGTCCTCTATCAGCAGAATCCTACCTCGCCGAGAGTCTTGATGCATTCAAGCACTCTTTTAAAGAGTTTGCCGAAACTTTTGGACGACCTCAAGTTCGCGAGATGCTGAAAGAAGAACTTGATCAACGAGTCTTGGATCTTTTAGCGGCCCGTTACTGGAATAGACCTATCTCAGATCTTTCACCATCACCACCGGAACCCAACACACTCGCGGAGCTCCCAACCGCCGATCCCGACTCCCTTTTCTGGCACCGCAAACTCGATGCTTCTACTTCTGCTCTCACCAAACTTGGTATCGGTCGTCTTGCAACTCAAGTCGTAGCCAGTGCAATCCAAGGCCATGTTGACCGTCTCATCTCTCAATCGACCTTCGCAACTCATCCGTTTGCTCGTCAGGCTATTACTGATGCAGCTGCCGGTATCTTGAATGAGAGGTTCTATAGCACTAGTGACCAAGTCGAAAACTGCATTAAGCCGTACAAGTTTGAGATCGATGTTGAAGACAGCGAATGGTCTCGCGGTAGAGAAAACGTTACATCGGTGTTGAAGAATGAGCTTAAAGCTTGTGAAGATGCGTCGAAGAATTTGGAGCAGCATGTTGGTGGTAGGAAGAAGATGAGAGATGTTATGAGCTTTGTTGATAAGGCAAGAAAGGGTGAGGTCATTGTTGATGGTGATGCCAGTGGTGCTGGAGGATTCAGTTCTGCTTTATTGCAAAAAGGTGTGTTCACGTCTTCTTCCCCCATATCTCCATCCTCCCTACGCAAAATATACTAACCCATTCCACAAGGTCGTGAAGCTGTATTCCTCCGCGACCGTTCCGTCCTCCTCGGCCTCCGTCTTAAGGCCCTCAAATCCACTCAATGTGCCTCGGTCAAAAACAAATATTACTGCCCAGAAGTCTTCCTTGACGTCGTCTCCACCAAACTCACCTCTACAGCTGTTCTCTTTCTAAATGTAGAACTCCTCTCCGAATTCTTTTACCAGTTCCCTAGAGAATTAGACCAGAGATTAGGAAGAGGTCTAACGAAAGAAGAAGTGGAGAAATTCGCGAGAGAGGATAAGAAGATTGAAAGGCATCTAGAGGTTATCAGGCGGAAGGAATTGTTGGAGTTGGTCTTGGGGAAGATGGAAGGGTTGAGGGATCTAAGAGAGTTGGATAACGGGGAGGCGAGGAGACCACAAAGAGGGCCGAAGAATGGGAGAGGACCTGGGAGTAAAGATGGTGTGAGAGGTCCCGGCGGAAAGGAGAATGGGAGGGGTGGGTGGAGTTTGTTTTAGTTGGTTGGTGTCTGGGGTATTATGTATTATGGGGAGGGGAGGAAGAGGTTGGATTGATGAAAAGTTACAAGCAAGCAAGCGAGCAAGCAATAAATTATCACGGCGTTAGGTTAGGGAATTGATGAGAAAAGGAATAGTGCGAAAATAGTTGTATATCCTTTTTTTTTAGTTGGTATTGGTATGGTGTGGTAGTGGTAGTCGAGGAGTTGTTCACTCTGTTCGCTCTAGCTCTACCTTTATGATGAATGAAATGACTTTCTTTTTTGTTATAGGTAGTTAGTTATAGATGCTATTTATTAGGCTCTACCTACTCGAGTACCTTATGATTTCAAGGGTCTAGAATTTTGTTTTGCTGTACTGTACATGGTTATACTATATATACCTACGAGTATCTATGTGTAATGATGTGATGTGATGGAAGACGGTGAAATGTCACATTTCACTTTTCATATACGCTTTTTGCTCTACATGTTTTGATTTTTATCCCGTGATGGCACCTTGCTACCCTATAAGTTTTAATATAATCGAAAATAAATAGGTAGGTATGTATGCGTTGATGCTCGCTAAAAATGTCATTCAACCATAATATAATCAATAATCCATAATCCATAAGTTCATATAACTATACCAAACATACACATGAAGATTCACATTTTCAACTACGAATTTATTTCCCATCAATAATCAGTTGCGTCGTAACTTCCCACTTCATGCCTCTACCATTTCCGTATCCACCCCCAAGTTTATTCCTCACCAATGTCTTGATCCTCTCTCTCAGTTTTAGCACATTTCCTTCGTCGCCCCGGACTCTCAATTTGAGATTCGCCATACATAATCCATAATGTACCTGCCAAAATCTTGCTTCCTCGACTGTTGAGACCGATGGTTCGGATTCAATCTCCTTCATGACTTCCGATACGCCAGCACCGGAATAGGACATGAGGAGCATGAGTCCCTGGGCCGTAGCTAGGCGGACGCCAAGGAAGAACATGGAGAGGGCAATGGCGGTGCAGAGGAGTCGGTCGAGCCAGATGTAGAGGGAGATTGTGAGGAGGGGGAGGAGGAGCATGATGGTGCTGCAGCTGAGAGTTAAAAAATGTGATGGGTTTGAGAGCACCGAGGGGAGAAATGATATGTAGGCGAAACGCATTGCTTTTCCTATTCGTGCGTGGTTCTTGAGTCCGATTGCTGAAACGAGTGTCGCTACTATCGAGAGTAAAGCGGCGGTATCGACAGATCCGGGACTAACGCGTTGATGGGAATGCGGGTGGTGCGGAGAATGTTCGCCTAGTCCTTCCAGGACGTGTTTGAGATTGTGGGATATGAGATCGAAACCCATGAAAAGGAGAAAAACGGACATGGCGAATCCTGCGAGAACTTCGGCGCGTTCGAGTCCGAATGGGTGACGGATCGAGGATCGTTTCCATACTTCGAAGTTGCAGAATACATCGACCACGACGCAGATGGTGGCGGATACGGCATCGAAGAATATAAGATGGGATAGTGCGGTGAGGGCTAGCGAGCCTTGCGCGCTGTAGAGGACGAAGGCGGATATTAGGGCGTGGCAGAGACACCAGGCTATTCGGATCGTTTGTTCTTTGGACATGCTTCTCCATGCTTCTTTGAATGTAGGGGTAGGTAGGGAGGCAGGGAGAGCGAGGGGTGCTCGAGGAGGTGGCTCGAGAAAGATTTGATGTTGGGTTGAGACACTACTGTGTTTGTATCTATGACCTCTTCGCTGGCCAATATTCTGGTACATTGTTAGCTGAGTTCTAATATGATTCTTTTGAGGCTCGCATACCGAATTGGCAATTGGCGCATCATTTATGGTTTGAGTCTGAAAGTTGAAAGGATTGGCGGCTCCTCTGGTAGGTGGTAGACTCATCATCCCGTCTGGTTGAAGGTTTGGACTAGAGAAATCTGAAGGGGGAGACATTGGGGTACCCATTGAGCCAAATCTACCTGTGTTTGAAAACGTAGGTGAGAGAGCATTTGGATCCAAGAGGATCTCTGAGTGCACGGTTCGTGAAGTGCCATCTTGCTGTCTCCATGTATCGCTGCCTTGCTTCTCTGGAATAGGAGTTGGAGGAGTGGGTGTCCTGGGAGGTGCAGGAATAGGCAAGCTTCTCGAAGTCATAATATGATGTCTAGTGATACTGGTGTTTCATGTAAACACGATTCCAATGAATCGATTGTAGATATGATATCGTCAATTCATGAATTATGCGCAATTGAATTGGCACGAAATGTTTCGTAATTCGTCATGGAGTGGTTGCGATATTAACTATATATAAATGGATCTGTAATTTACCTACTTCCCCCTTTTGGATCTTTAGACCAGGGGTAAATGTTCCACCGCCCGGCATTATGCTACTAATTGAGTTACGTAAGCGATATTTCACCTCATTTCGATATTAAGCTTAACAAAAGCTCTAGACCCCATAGCCAAGGGTTTCTCTATCACAACCCATCAAAAGTACATTCATCTTAACACAGCCTCAAATTTCCTTCGGTACGACAGCGACAGAATCTTAAACACTGGATCATCAGAACTACTATAGTATACTTTGTATTGTGATTGTTATCGACATTCGAATCTCCCATTCCTTGGGCAACATTCAATATTCCTTCGGCGCGTACACGCTCAGAAATCACCTTTAAAAGGAACGAACAGTATCTCAGGACAGCTGCTTCATCAATAATTGAGTTGGTTTTGGCGAGACTTATTGAGATTTGAAGTGTAATATTCAAACTTGTCAAAACACGTGTCCCTGCGCCATCCCCAAATTAAGTTTCGCTTCCAAGGCGTTATATCACATTTTCTCGAACATGAAATCGGCCTCGTAAGATTTGTTACAGGATTATAGCTCGAAATCATGGAGAAAGGGGTTGGGTCAAACGGTGCCTCACATGTTCATGCCGGGGAATCAGTGAATGAACCCGAAGAAATCCAATCCGAAATCAGACCTGGAGGACACAAAAGGACACTGTCTGGAAGCATCATGTCTAAGCTATCTTTTCTATCGAGACCCCGCAGTCCCGAGTCTCCGCCTTGTGATGAACCAATATCTCCAAAGAGGTCAAGTACTCGAGCTATGGCTGTTGCCGTTCAACAGCAGAAGACTAGGAGGAGGAAAGGTTCTTTAAGAAAGGCTGCACTACTTGGTCGAGGAGCGCAGCGCGATCGTAAAGAGGTCAAATCCATACTTCTCGATACCAATCAGCCAAGTCAATATGTTGGCAGCCCAATTCCAAGTCCTACTTCTCCCGAAAATATTCGGCCTGTGAATCATATTGGTTTGGGAATATCCGACGAAACTCCCCGCCCCTCCATGGAAGGTCTAGCCAGCCGAAACAATAATACTTTACTACCACCTATCAAAACTCTTCCGATGGGTGCTAATGATCACATCGTCACATCACCAACGACCGCTACAAGTCCGACTTTGACTTACACATCCACTACCGATGAAGAAGACTTGCTCAGTATTCCACCACATAGTTTACCAGCTGCAGCTCGTGGACCACCACCATCGTCCAGTTCAGAATCATACTTTCCGCCCGGCGCCGGCTCTATACTTCGTCGCCGACCCTCTCAAAAACAAAAATCCCCACTGTCTATAGGCGGACTCGCCGCAAGTCCACTTCCTTTGACAGATGCAGAATGGGATTACTCGGAAACTGAATGGTGGGGTTGGGTTATTCTAATTGTAACATGGGTTGTGTTCGTTACTGGTATGGGTTCATGTTTAGGGGTATGGAGTTGGGCATGGGATGTTGGAGAGACTCCTTATGCACCTCCTGAGCTGGAGGATGATCCGACACTTCCGATTGTGGGATACTATCCTGCATTGATCATTTTAACGACAGTAATGGCTTGGGTTTGGGTGGTGGTTGCTTGGGTTGGTATGAAATATTTTCGACATGCGAAAATTAGTGGGGACTGAGACGGCCATATATTTAATGATAATGTTAATTCACAGATGAAGATATACTTCGAAGTTTTGTGAGAGTCGTATTTATTATCAGTGTTCATATGCCATATGCAGGTTGACTTGAAATACCAACAAGCGCAATTGAGCATCTCCAGCATGCAGTCAAAATGAGAAACGCCGTGGACTGAGCAGATGAACCCTTGAACTGTCGTTCTAATTTATGAAAGACTCTTGTTGAACGTAGGAGAAAGGGGAAGACATCTATTTACAGCTTGATTGAGTCAAAAGTCCCAAGCATGATTGTGCTGGATGCGAATTACTCATTCATCTCATATTTTACCTTGCCTCGCCGAAGCACCGAAGTTGGCTCACTGATGGGCATAGATCGCGACCCCTGTATAAGAAAGTAGGACAGCTGACCACCGAGATCCAAGAAACATTGGATTAGCTCACTATTTGCTATTGTCCAAGGATCAAAACCAAGGAATATCTATATCTAGATGCGGGCTCTGGTGTGGTCGTACGCTCCTGGGTGGCTCCTTTATCGATATAGATTACGGAGGGTAGGGTGCTTTCATTGTTTGTTGTGGCATGGGGAGAACGCATTATTCCCTCGCTTATGCCCAAGACGACAATCCTTTAATACTATACAGTGAAGACTTTGTGGCTCTTGGGGATGTTGTTCTTTCATGCTGGCCAGAACATGGAGAGAATGTATACCAGTATTCGTTGTGAATAGCAGAATGTGAAGGATTGGATGGAGAGGTTCTGATATAATATTACATCAAGATGTCAGGACTTAAAGTCTTGAAAATAGGAGGGGGAGTAATTACTGCTGAGTAGCGAGAAGATCTAGAGGAAAGGGTGCAATATGTTGGTGGTTGAGATGTAGAATCCTTGGGTGGGATATCTATCACCTTACAGTATATGTAAATGCGTTTATGAAATTGCTGCTTGGTGTTTGTTTTTGATGGGAAGATCTATTTTATGATTATATCTAGCTGCTATGTCTGTTATTAAGAATGAGGTTGCTCTCGGTTGCTCTCGGTTGCACAACTTTCATATACTATACTGTACTGCGCAATTATATGCCAAGGCGGTGAGCCATTAGCGTCATATCAAAAAGGTCCGAGCACGAAAAAAAGATTCCCGCATCAAAAAATAATTCTTGAATTTCAATAAGGTCAATAATCAATACTACTCGATCCCCAATTGAGAGTACACAACACATTCAAAATGGTTGTCAAAAGTAAATTGAAGATGGCGCTTGCAGCCGATAAGAACACCAGTTTTTCGAAATTACATCAGAAGAAGGTGGCTAAAGTTGCGAGGAAAGATAAGGCCGTGAAGAGCTCGAAGAAGGTCGAACAGGAATGGGAGGATGTTGAGGGACAGGGTGAAGATGAGGAAGAGGAGGATGCTGAAGAGGGAGATAGTGAGGATGAGGACGAAGAGGAAGGAAATGGTCCTACTGAGGTATTTGCGCTTTCGCATCTTTTATTTACTAATACTAACCATCAGTAGATTGACTTTGCAGCAATCGACGAAAGTGATAGTGATTCTTCTGTTGGCGGAGATGAAAACGAGGAGGATGACGAAGACGATGACGAAGACGATGAAGATATCCCCATGTCCGATCTCGAAGATCTTGATGACGAAGAAAGAGAAGATATGATCCCTCATCAACGTCTTACCATAAACAACACAGTCGCTCTTACCGCAGCCCTGAAACGTATCTCTCTCCCGGTCGCCACTCTCCCATTCTCCGAACATCAATCTATCACATTAGAGGAACCTACGGAAATCGCAGATGTTTCCGATGATTTGAGCCGCGAATTGGCTTTCTATTCACAATCGCTTGAGGCTGTTAAGGCAGCGCGAGTGCAATTAAAGGCGGAAGGTGTATCTTTCACTAGACCTACGGATTATTTCGCGGAGATGGTAAAGGCGGACGAACATATGGAGAAGATCAAAAGAAAGTTGATCGATGAAGCAGCTGGAAAGAAGGCATCTGCGGACGCAAGGAAACAGAGAGATTTGAAGAAGTTCGGAAAGCAAGTTCAAGTCGCCAAGTTACAAGAGAGAGACAAAGAAAGGAAGGTGACTTTGGATAAGATCAAGACCTTGAAGAGAAGTATGTTCCAGCTCTAGTCCTTTCCCCATATTCAAACTCGTCTATTAGTCACATACTAACCAATAATAGAACGTCAAGGTGCCGACACGGAAAACACAAAGGAAGCAGACCTCTTCGATGTAGCTCTCGAAGAAGAAACCAAACCTTCAGGAAACCGAAGTGATCGCAAGAGCGGACCAAATAAGAGACAAAAGAAAGACGAGAAATTCGGCCATGGTGGTAAGAAGAGGTTTAAGAAGAGTGGTGATGCGGAGAGTACTGGAGATCTAACCGGATTCTCGGTCAAAAAGATGAAGGGTGGTGGTGCTAAGGGCGGTGCAAAGACTAGACCCGGAAAGGCCAGGAGAGCCGGTGGAAAGAAATAGTGTGTTTTTTTTTAATATGAGGGGAAAAGTGTGAATTGGGATAATTTGCAAATAGGCGTTTTTGTTTTTGGGGGGCAAATTCAATGGTGAGGGACAATGTGAGGGAGGGGGGAAAGTGATGAAAGTTGTAGAATACCATGAATGTAGATTTGTCTTCATACTATCTTCGTTCGTTCTTTGTATTGGAGGGTATCAATCAGTTGAGTGAGGTGAGGTGAGGTGAGGTTTCTTCGTGCCTCTGACTTCTGAGTATTATTCCAACGAAAGCTTTCATTAGTCTTGAAATAGTACTTGCAAGTTGCATTGATTTTTGGCTGTAGTCGCTGTACTGGTTGTTTTGGAGAATCCAAGCCAATATTTTCAAAAAAAAAAAGAAAAGAAAGGTTGTATCCCCCCCTGGAACCCCCGCCTGCTTAGTTTGTATATTGGGCCCTCTGCTATTTCAGATAGGGGGTTTCAATATTTACATTTTAGATTGTTGATGAGGTGATGAGGTGATGAGGTGAGGTGTATGAATCACTTTGCTGTTTCGAGATGGGAATGAGGATGGGGGTTTTTGTTGGGTTCTATTGGATTGTGTGGGTGGAGTGAGTGTGTAATCTGTAGGTTTGGTGGATTGGGGTTGTGAATTGGGGTTTTATGGGTAAGAGGTAGAAGGTAAGAGGTAAGAGGCAGAAGGTTTGGTGAATGGGTTAGAGGTAAGAAAAAAGACGTAGAAGGTTTGCGAGGGAAGGGAAGGGAAGGAAAGGAAAGGAAAGGAAATGTATTGTTTTATTGGTGTGATGTGTATGATATTAATGTTTAGATTTGGATTTTGGATTTGGACTTAGATATAGATTTGAATATCATAATACCATAGTGTGTATATAATGAAATAGAATGGAATATACTACTACTACTACTACATATAGTAAGTATACTAGGACATTATACTCGTATATAATGAATATTTGATGTTGTATTATTGGTAGATTCTATAGTACAAGTATAAAGAATAATAGTCGGCTCTCCGAGTCTTTAGAACAGCCATCTAATTCCCAGTTAGGGAAAGCGATTATTTCTTTTTGAATATTATGTGTATATATATATAACTTGTGTAAAGGGGGGGTGATCGCTTGCAGAGGATAATCGCTTTCCCCGTTCCATAGAGAGTTAACTGTTAGATAGATAGAATAGATAGATAAATACACTGTTCAAACTCCGATCCCGTTTTCGGTACAGTGAAGAGAATGACTCTGAATGAGCATGCGCATGAGCATGGGCTAAGATAGATTACTGTACTGTGATTATTGGTCTATGATTTGCTAGTGGATTGATTGACTACGTCTTATAGAGTGATGGTTATTCTGCCATGGTTCTGCGATGAGGATTCTACGATGGTAATTTGAAGATAAAATGATTATATTGAAAAGTATACCGGGATATAATATGAAAATGTTATAATTTGAAGTTTAAAGATACTAGATTGTCCGGGGAACTTGAATGGGAATAGGAGTGGATTTTATGGTATATTCAGATAGATGGACGAGTATTATATATATGTATATTATATTATCTATTAATAATAATAAAAAGAAAAGAAAAGAAAAGAAAAGAAAAGAAAAGAAAAGAAAAGAAAAGAAAAGAAAAGAAAAGAAAAGAGAGATTTAAAGAACAAGATACTCAAGAGAACAGAGTACTCGAATAAGTAGTAGTAAGTAGCAAAATAATACGTCACTATATACTCGAATGAATGAACAAAATTAGAATATTATACCGGTACTCGTGCTGGTCTAACCTACTAAAGAAAACCAAGTACTCAGTATAATATTATAAAATCAACCACGGAAATAGAGCGGGAATTATAATATAACCCCCTTTTATACCCCCTCCTTATCTCCAAACCATTTCTGTTTCATCCTCTGCTCGCGTTATTGTGTTCTGTTGCCGAATACCAAGATACAAGTATACTGTACTGTACTGTACTGAATTCTAGATGTATATTTGATTATTTGGATAGGATAGGATAGAATAATGTAATAGAATAGAACAAAACATTTATTCTCAATAGAAAATAGCTCTCTCTCTCTCTCTCTCTCTCATATCCTATTCCTATGAGGAATCCTGATATGGATGGGTATAGTATAGTACTATAGATAGGGTATACTATACAAGCTCTAGAATCGTAGAAGAAAGAAGAAATTGAAGAAAGTAAGACTTATACAAAAGCTATATCTTGTAAGATGTGCCACAGCGTCCGATTTGCAGCTGGCAAGGCAAGTAGATACGGTAGATAAGGGAATTATTTGTATATGCATGTCACCCACGTTTTTCTCTTACTGTTCTGTAATGCTTAATTGTTTTTTTTCATCTCAAACCGATGGTACTGTACGCGGTGCACGTACATGCATGTAGGTACCCCTCTTATTGTCTTGCCTTGTCGAGAATTGAGATTCAGATGCTTACAGCTTATCTAAGAAAGAAGTTGTGGAAGACTGGAAGTACATGTGATTGAAGAAGTTTGGCGTTGTGATTGGATGAAAGAATTGTCTTGATTGAGGGAGAGGTGTTGGGTTGTGTAAGGTTAAGCGCTGATGGATATATATCGGTTGCTAATCGCGATGGTTGGTTGGTTGGAATATTATATATATATATATGTTGATTGGCGATATGTGAGACTTATTCTCAAAATTAGTGATAGGAAGATACAAGTCAATACCGGTATTGTGATTGAGTTCTTGCAATTGATATGATTGATAGATGGATATCTCGAGTCAAGGGTTTAAGACAAGGCGGGAACTAATAGATGGATCGGATGGCTTTCTCGGGTAGAAGTCTAGAAGATGTGTGTAATAAGATGAAATTTCGGTTTCGTAAGAGGCGGGCGGCGGGTTGATTCTGAATAAGGTGATGGATATTTGATAATACGTGTACTGTAGATTAGAGTCAAAAAGATACCGAATGAAGGTAATGTAGTTAAGTTGATTGGCTGGCTAATCAAGGAAAAAGTGTTCTATACATTGACTTCCAAACGTATAGTCTTTGATATTGGGTAGAATAGAATAAAAATAGAACATTAGATGGAAGAAGTTAATCCGGTTGAAGTGAAAGGTCTAAAATGATTCTGTCTGTGTAGCTATCCATTTGAAACATAGGTTGTACAGAAACCGAACCTCGTGAGTGATGGATTATTTATAGAAGCGGTGTAATCAATATTATCATGATGACGAGGTTGAGTTAATAATATAAGATATGCGTTGTTCTTATGAGATGGCTTTTCAGTATACAGAATGTCTTGACTTATCAACGTCGTTATTCATCCAGAGAACTTTCTGAATGATTGTGAGGGAACTCTCCTTCTAGAATAATCAATATCAAGTACTATCCCGATACAATAATCCTAGTTTAGGTGTCGGTCTCGCCTCCCTTCTTCCGAACTTGTATCAATACTTACCTAGTATACTCCGTACCCAAGGTATATATACAAGGGCTTTGTTTAGATAAAGACCTATTCAAGCACAAGAACTTGGACAGGAAGAAAAAGGCAACCGAAAAAAGGATATACAATATCTATAATAACGAATTCCTCCTCCTCTCAATTTTATATACATACCATACCATACCATACCTCATTGTCTACTATACCTTTTACGTTTTATATAAATATCAAATTAGATATCATTCTCAATCATTACTCTTATTATTGTCATCAAGACAAGATGATAATATCTAACCGTTAAACAATCAACCCTTCTATCAACCCTTCCCATCAACCTTCTATCATATCAACCCTTCACTTGCTGCCATCTTTACTACAATATCATTTTATATCATACCTACTTATTAGAGCGCGCCTAACTCGCAATTTCAACAAATCCACTATATATAATAACCACCCCCAGCCAAGACCCATCCCAGGTTTGAAGAGAAGAAGAAGTCGAGTAATCAAAGCACGGTAGTAAAACAACAAAGCAACAAAGCCATTCAGTAAAGCAAAGTAAATTGATAAGGAAACTCCAAGAGGAGTCTGTTACTCTTATTGATTATTTGGTACTAATTACTTACTTGTACCTCGAGTACCTACAACGATTCGACCACCTCCATCCCAAACTTGACATCTAATTCATCACCTTCTGAGTTGAACCTTGAATTTGAATTTGAATTTGAATTTGAATTTGAATTTGAATTTGAATTGTAATTGGAGTTTCTTACCAAAACCAAAAAAAGGGGGGAAAGAAGAGAGGTTTAATCATATTATTTTATACCGGCATATTATTATTATTATTATTATTATTATTATTATTATTTTTATTTTTATTTTTATTAGCCATTTCAACATAGTAGTAGTAGCGCTTGGATCAAATAACAACGGCCGCCAACCTTTTTCTCTCCTGCTTTCATACTCGACCATCTATCCCATCTCGACCATCTCGACTCCTCCTAACCCATTCACAACCAACAAACCACGAAACACTAAGGGGGAAATTCTTCATCACACACAATTCCCATCAAGAAGATTCATCGAGTCTTTTGATCATCTTCAATTCTATACCTACAATATTGCCCCGACGTTTGTAAGATATACATTGGAATTATCAATGACTATTCAGTGAATTGCCGTCTCGTCTCACCTCTGGCTCGCGACAATCTTTCTTCCCTTGAGGATTTCAGCTTATAACCCCAAATTCGCACAACTCATCCCAACCCATATATCAACAAAGAGATCAAAATATCTCGAATACTTGCATTCGAAATCCGCAAGTATCCTAGTTCGCTCAACTGCCCGTCAATCCATCAAACTACATACATATAATTCCATCTTGTGGCAGGGTCGCCTCTGAAACACTTTGATCGACAATCCAATCCTTTCTTCATCAACCGCCATCTGCGGATCAACTCCAATATGAGGGAAGTCAATTTCAGTATCCCCAATGTCAATAAGGCATCGGTCGGTATCACGACAGCTTTGTACGATCGTCGAGCCCTTGATTGTACTTCGACATTACCTTTGATCAATTCACTCAATCATCTCGCCTACCTCACCACTTCATCCGCCAGAATTAGGGATATCCTTACAGTCGATGGAGGTGTCGAAAGATTGGTATGCCTTCTCAAGGCTGGGAGGAGTAAGGATATGATGGATATGTGGAAATGGAATTTGGCTTTTCAATGCGTTGTCAATATTGGTGTACGAGGCTCGGAGAATGTTCGAACCCGGGTTGTTGAAGCGGATATGGTTCCAGTAATCGCAACAATTCTCGACAATTACATCAAAGTGGTTGATAGGTGCAGAGAGAAAGCTGAAGAAGCTAAACAGAAGGCTTTGCTGGAACATAGACAACAAAGTGGTCGTTCTGGGGAACATCGAAGTACACAGAAGGGGCCTTCATTTGGCAATCGAGCCTCGCGATTTGAATCCGAGTTACGAGCATCAAGACGCCAACCTCCCCCACCGTCTATCGACATTCCCTCTAATTTTTCTGGGGCTCCATTGACGGCTGGTTCAGATGCCATGGATATTACACCAACTAGGCCTCAATTTGCTCTTACATCTCCCCCAGAGCGAACTACCTTTTCTGTCCACAGACATCATCACCATCACAGAAATCAGGATGCGAGACAACACTTCTTGTCACCACGCCATAATATTCAACCACTTGCGACTGCAGTTCCATCAATGGATGCAGCTGATGGCTTCAATATCAGACCTGTGAGAAATGTTGACCGTTTGCCTTCAATGGTACCAGGATTCCAAGGTGGCCTGACGTCTCAACCCGAATCTCCAACAACTCCTCTCCCTCCTGCACAAATGCGGTCTCCTACCGTTCGGGCAACATCAATTTCTGTTGGCACACCTCGGTCACGAAGACGTCCTTCCATCAGACATCAACTTTCAACTGCTGCTGATACAGAAGATCTGAATGCTGATAGTATGGCATCTGATGAGTCTGGGGAACCTGATATCACCGGCGTAAGCACAGCTGAAATTCAAACTACAACTGTGAATATTCAGGATGTAAGTATGGATGAGAATGATAGTATGCTCACGGCCGTCGAAACACCACTTGGTCTAACCACTCCCACCGTTTCCGAGGCACAGGATGCCGGGACATTCAATATCACCCACCGATCTGCCATGGATGGCAGCATGATTAATGATGCTACAACTCCAACTGAGCCAACAATTGGTCTTTCACCAGCTCAACCAACTACCGTCAACACACCACCTACCATGCCACCAACAACAATTCCAAGATATTTCTTGGATAGACCAACACCACCACAAGGACAAGTTTTGGCTGCTATGCCACGAGATGAGGATGTATTAATGTCTCTTCAGCTTTTAGCATACGTTTCCAAATACTGCAATTTAAGATCTTACTTCCAACAGTCTCATCTTGTTCCAAAACTCAAGATTGGTTCTGAACTGCACTTACTCGATGTCGATGAGAATCTCTCTTCCAACGCCACTTCCCCAGCCTCGTGCTCCTCTCATTCCCACGATGACGAAGAAGAAGAAGAATATTTACTTCCAGACGATTTCAACATTTTCCCATTGGTCGAAAAATTCACCGTCAGACATCATAGTCAAGATATGCAATACTGGGCAGGAGTTGTCATGAGGAATTTATGCCGAAAGGATGATGCTCGTGGGGGTATCAGACAATGCGCATATTATCAATGTGGGAAGTGGGAAGAATATACCAGGCAATTCGCCAAATGCAGAAGATGCAGAAGAACAAAATATTGCAGCAAAGAATGCCAGAAAAGCGCATGGGTATTTCATCGACATTGGTGTGTTCAAGCATCTCAGTGATCACATCACTTACCAAAAATAATGGACGAACTTTCACCATCTGTGGCTATCAGCTACAAGGCGACAACCAAAAACGAATTCTATAATGTCTTTACGGCAACAGCGACTCAATCGAGATCTCTTATGTCAAATCTTATCAACAACATTAGCATATCCATGGCGTTTCTTATATCATAGGCGGTTTCAAATACGATACCTCTGCAGCAAGCAAATTCTAAACCAACATGATTGGTTTTTCGTCGGCAAACTTTTCTTCTTACCCTTGTTTATCACACCCTCCAGTGAGATTCATCTCAATTCGATTCGCATGTGGCATAAAAATATGAATATGATAGCATACGACTCGAACGATGAACGAATGGAGCACGAATTTCTTTTGTCATACCTCTTTCTGGCATAGCTTTTCTTTTTTTCTTGAGATTCCGAATTCACTCTTGAAATCAACATTTTTTTCATTCGATACCAACCTACATACACGAAAAGGATGGGATGAAAGGCTTATATGATAACATCATTCAAGATGCATATAATTACCACCTTCTGGTCTTATACCCGTCTTACGACTTCTTCCTCTCAGTCCTTCTATCCTCGATCTAAACATCTCTTGGGAACACTTAACTCGACCTGACTTTATATTATTCATTTGGATCTTCATGTGTGATAGGATGGGGAGTTACAACGACTTTGATTACGTCTCGGGAATTTTTGAGTGAATGTGGCGGGGAGGTTGATGGTTTTGATGGGATGATGGAGTCGATGCATATGTTGGGGCGAAAGCGAGGAGTGTAGTGGAGTTCTCTTTTTAACTTATTCATGGCGTGCGAGAGATATCATATTGGGTGCGGGTAAGAATGGGATGAAAGGAAAAGAGGAAAAGAATGGACGGGGTTTATAGGGATGGAAAATGGGATGAAGGATGGGTTTGAGAGATGGATACGGATGGAAGAAGGGAGGAAGGAAAGGGAGGAAGGAAAGGGAGGAAGGGAAGGGAAATGATGAAAAGGGGATGGAATTGATGGGAGAATGAAATACCATACCGTCGTATATCGCATAATGCTTTTTGGCAGATGTGCAGACGGGCAGAAGTTGAAAATGGATACCAGATTATAGTCCATGAAGCGAGTAATCAATCAATCATAATCACAGTCACAGTCAATGGAACTGTGATGAGTAATCAATTATGGTCAAAGTTGAAATTTCAGTCGAAATAAATATGCGATGGTAAATAGGATGAAAGTGATGGTGATGGTGATGGTGAAAGGGTGAAAGGGTGAAAGGGGAAGTGGATGGTTGGATGGATGAATGATTGGATGGTTTTATAAATGTGAACTATATACTCGAGTAATTGATGAGAAGAGATGAGATGAGATGAGATGATATGGGAATGAGATGGGAATATGAGATGGGAATATGTGATGAGAATGAGAAAGAAGGATGAGAAAGAAGGATGAAGGTTAGGCAGGTATTGGATGGTAGGGATGAGGGGAGAGGATGAGTGAGATAAGAGGGGATGTGAGGTGGGATGTGATGGGATAAGAGGGAGAGCGGTAGCTAATTCAAGATTCCAAGGTAGGAAGGAAGGTGAGAAAGTGGGAAGGAACTTATCTAATACTCGTACTCGAGTACATGCTAACAGCTAACAGCTCACATCAAGCTGGGACGAGCTTCGTCATTGCGAGCGATACACAGGAAGTACGGAAACGTTTGAGTTGAATGATTGGTATTTTTAGGACTGCATGTCTATATATTAGAGAAGGGGTCTTGATGTCATATCTAGCATTATTGATATGATAATTCACTGCCAGAACCTTCATCTTCCCGTTCAACTCTAAGCAAGCACTTTCCCTCTAATATTTACAATCTTCACAATCTCCACCCCCTTCTTCTTCCATACCGCACTCACCACAACACCCTTCGAATCCCACTTAAAATCCACCACTCCACCCCCTCTTACCCTTAATCCCTTCACAGTCCCCCCACCCCACTCCTTCGGAATCGCGGGTCCCAAAACAATGGTTCTCTCTTCACCTCCATCTCCACCTCCACCTCCACCTCCACCTCCATCTCCATCTCCATCTCCATCTCCATCTCCACCCCCCAGTCTCCCCGGTAAATCCACAACCAACATCGCCAACACCGCCCCCCCAAACCCAAAATTCGCATCAATCTGAAACGGTTCATTCTTCCCCGAATACATACTCAATCCATTCCCGGCCAAATTCTCCCCCACCACCAACCTCAACTCCCCATACGCCATATCCGTATCATTTAGCCTCGCCCAACAAGCCGCACGCCAAACTTTTTCCCACCCAGCATTCGAATCTGCAATTCCGGGACCGCGCGATGAGAGCGAGTTGTGCACGGCGGAAGAGATGCTAGGGTTGGTGTAGCCGGAGAGATGGGAGGACAGTGAGGAGCCGGGGAACCAGCCGATGAGGTGAGAGAGGTGCCGGTGAGTACTGTTTTCGAGGATGGGCATGTAGATTTTCCATTCTTGGATTTGGTAAGTGGGAGAGATGTGGAGGCCTTTGTCTAGGGAGGGGAGAGTTTTCGCGAGGGTTTTTTGGAGAGGTGTGTCGGTGGAGAGAGTGCGTGCGGCTTGGAGGGTAGATGTAAAGAGAGAGTGGATGAGTTGTTGGTAGTGTGTGCAGCCGAAGGTAGTCTGAGAAATGTATGATCAGTTACGAGTAGTGAATTAACACATTTAGCGAGGGTCAACTCACAGGTCCATGTTCTGGGGAAGAACAAGGATTTACAACTAACGTCCCATCATTGAAATATCGATCAATTTGAAGCTGACTTAGCCAAAACTCCGAGATGGCTTTGAGTAATGGATACCCAGTCTCTCTCAACCAAACCTCATCTCTCGAGTAATCATAATAGTCAGCTACATGCTGCATCATCCATGCCGCAGCCACTGGATAATCAGCCCAATATTCATCACCTGTCTTCATGACCGTATGACCAAAGATATTGATTTCATCATGAACAACCCACCCTGGAGCATTATATAACAGCTTAGCCGTTTCTGCACCACGAGGTGCCCATGTTTCGGTCATGTATGTCCATAATGCGGCCTGTAGATCTCCGAGACCCGTTTGAACGGCGACCCAATGGTTCATTTGAAGATTGATGTTGGAGTGGTAGTCGGCGCCCCAAGCATTGGATAAGCTATATGCCCATTTGCCTTGGAGGTTAGGAGGGAGAGAGTTGCCTCGGGATGATGATATGAAGAGATAACGACTATAGTCGAATAGGAGACTCTCGAGCCATGGATCGGTATGGCTGTTATCAGTGGTGTTATATGCTGCGATCGCAGCGGCAGTTTCTTTGTTTGCTGATTTGAGAGGGTCGGGTAAATTGAGTGTAAAACTGTCCATGAGGGTGGAAAAATCAGATACATGTTCATCCCTGAGGGCTTTACCAGTTCTTGAAGCTGCCTTAGCTACTGTGCCAGAGACGTAGCTTCCCGGATCTTTTCCCCTGAACGAGTAATCATTGGCAGCTGTACCTTTAGTAGCGTCATAATTGGTACCAGCTGAAATAACTAGAAACAGAGAACGTTGGTTGTTAGAAGGCGTTATACCGAGAATCCCGGTAGTGTTGGAACAAGACACTACTCTCGTAGACCCAAGAACACGAGCCTCGGCCTTATAGATCATACCTATATCAGTTTGAGTTATGCCACTAAATAGAGCAGATTTTGAGGATGTTGAACAGGACGAGTTGACCAAGGAGCTGTCCGACTGTACATTTTCAAAGTGGACATTGATCCTAGGAATCGTAGCTGTCGAAGTGACTTCATAAACACACACACTGTCTGGATAGGAGCAGTAGACGGTACTGGTTATGGTCAGCAATATACCGGCGGTTCAGAACAGAGTTTGCAGACGTAGTAAAGGAAGCATTTGCAATCTTGAAGTTAGTCGTATGAATTCCAGTATCTAGGTCAAGCATTCGTTTATAACCAGTGGCACCAGAAATACCCTGCAGCGACACGGATAAATTGCCAAGAACCTGATAACTTCCATAATTGTCATCTGAACCCATCAAAGCAGAAACATTCCCCGTGCCATTTTGAAAGATCCAATCTCTGATACCTGGCAGTGCTGAAACCACCGAAGAGTTTGGATTGCCGCCACTGTAGCTTGCACTCTCGAAAGGCCCGCCATTCCACAATGAATCTCGGTTGAGACTAAGTTTCTCAAAACCTGGCTCGCCAAACGGGAGTGCTGTATCTTACTTAGCATAATCATAAAAGTGTAATTTAATTTACATACCAGCTAATTGACCATTTCCTATAGGATAAGCTGTCCTAATAAGGTCCTCGAAATGTGCCGGTTGAGTAGACCAAAGACTCTTGCCTTGTACCATAAGCGAGAAATGCGAAAGGCATAGGATCGTGATCCATGAGCTCGTAGACATTTTGAGTATCTACTTGAGCATCTACCAGTAAACGCTTGGCAGATTCTGTGGTAACATTACTGTTCATGATTATATATAGTTCTTGCGGATAATCTCGAAGGCAAATAAGTGAGGGGTACATAAACGAATCATTTAGCCGGCTCAATCTGCATCCTTAGCGAACCCGCCGACTCACCCCATCTTTACCCCGCAATATCACCCGGCGATATTGTCACAGATATGAATCTAGACGGAAGAAAAAACACAGGAGCCTCACCCTCTCACTGATTCATAATGATCAGAATCCAGATTGCAATATAATTCAGCTATGCCCGCGGCTGAGATATTCCCAAACATGTACACTTGACACTCCTCTAGCCCATCACTATACCCCCATCATTATCACAAAAGCATCACTCACATCAAAGCACCACCTGAAGCCAAATATAATTTGAAAATTTTCCTAATCATTAAACACTTACACATATGCGATTATGCATAGCAGATCTCATCCACCTACATCCTCAGCATTGCTCCACCCACCCCCCATACCATACCACCCATCCATTGAATGCCTCGGCAAAGAAGCCACATTACAAAATAGAGCTCCATGCCACCAGTGCTTCTTTATCCAGAGCCAATATGTCGAGTTTGTCCTATTTGAAATGCGCAGTGAGGTTCGGGGACTATCATACAAGAAATAGAACCATACTTTTTGCCGACGCAAAGAGAGATAATCCGCAGAAAGGAAAGAATGATAATAAGAAAAGTCATAAATCAATCAATCAACCCCCTCAATCCCCCAACATATCTTCATCTTCATCATCTTCAGCAGCACCATTTTCCTCCCCTTCTCCTTCTCCTTGTTCATCACCACTAACATCTTCAATTAATTCTCTTCTCTTCAAATCAGCTCTTGTTCCTTCTTCAGGTTCTGCATCAGCAAATGGATCATCATCTTCCTCTTCTTCTTCAACATCTTCATCCTCCAATTCCATCCTAATAACTTCTTTCTTTGCCTGTGCGACTGCTACTGCTGATTGTGCCTTACTCTTAATCTTCTTCGCCTTATCCTTTGGTTCATCAAGATATGCAATCACTTCCTTAAAATTGTGTCCTAGCCTCGCTCGATTCCTCTCAAGACGTTTCCTTAACTTTCCTCTCGTAGGTTCTGAAGCGTCAATGACTTTTGCGAGAATAGCCAAGACTAATTTCCCTGTCAATTCACAAAGTTGTTGTTCCGCTTTGAGAGTTTCACTTTGTCGTTCATTCTCTGTAACATCCTCGTCCTCGTCTTCAGAGTCTTCCGGTTCATCCTCAGGGGCTTCATCCTCATCTGGTTCCTCCAGGCGCTTCTTGGCCTTTTTCGCAAAATGTTTCTCGGCATGGTCAAAGATGGAAATTAATTCAGATTGAGCTTCTGGGGTGATTTGTTTAAATAGAGATTGAATGTGTTCGGGTTGGATTTTGGGTTCTTTTTGTCCAGCAGTAGTAGCTTGAGGTCGTAGAGTGGCGAATAAAACGTGAAGATCGAGAAGAGTTCCTGTTGCAAGTAGACGAACGGGATCAAGAGTACCTCGGGATGATAAAGCGGCCAGAAGGTTTTGAATGAAGGTTTCTTGACAATCCCTAAGAGAATCAATGTCGACATCTGGTACATCTTCACCTGATGAGATGAATCTTGTTAATGAATGTACCTTCCACATGAAATAGAACATGGCTGAACCAATAGCCGATATAACAATCTCATCCTCTTGAGCATCAATATCCGGATTTGCTTCCTCAAGTTGTCCTCTTGCAACAACGTCAAGAATGATACTGATGGGAGAAGGTGTTTCGCTATTGATTTCAGCTTCAAGAACTTCAACACAATTTGAGATGCTTGCAAGTTTTTCCACCTTTGCAAGGTTGGTTGAAAGTTCTACAAGAATGGAATCCCTAAAAGCTCCTCGAACAGATACTTCACCAGCTTTGTTGATATTTTGAAGTATGTTCGTGGTATCCTCCCATAATGTTTGAAGTTTGCTTTCTGTGACTTCTTCTAGCTCTTCGTAACTTCGTGCATGTAATATTGCTGCACTTGCTTCAGTAAGAACATTCTTGTCAGCATGACCACTGAATTGAGCACTAATCTCATCGAGTAGTTTGGCATATCCTGTTGAATCTTGTCGCAACTCTTGAAAGACACCAAGATTAAGAGAATGTTCCAAACGTAAGACAGCAGTGGCAGTTTTTGGGTGAGCTCCAAATTTCTTGAGTAATCTTGGAATGATATCTGCCAAATGACGAGCTGTTGTCTCTTTGATCTCCGCTGATTCGGCTCTAGCGTTTCTCTTCTTGCTTTTGTCTTTTGATTTATCTGGCTCGGCGAGTTGGTTTAGATTAAGCTTGACCACTGCATTCAAAGTCTCTAGCAGTATGATCTCTTCGGTCTCTTCTGGCTTGAAAGAATCCTTCAATGCTCGATTAGTTCCCTTGCCTTTAGGATTCGATGAATGATCGTGCAAAAGGTAGCCGGCCAAAACCTCCCACTCCTTAAGCTCCGGCATCTTTTCGTATAATGCTTGAGCAGCAAGAGTAAATCTCGATTCACCACCAGAAAGATCTAAATACCGATCGGCAGTCGCTTGTTCTATTTTATCCGGCATCTCCTCCTGATCGGAAACATCATAATTCTGTAAGACCTCTGCGAGACACTTGAGTTTGATCCAACTAGCACGTGGTGAATCGTAATCATCATTCTCAACTGTCAAAATTTCCTCCAAGGCATCTTCTCCACCCAACTCCTCAATCTTTTCATCAAAAACATCCTTGACATTTTCAACGAAGAATGCAACCACAGCTTTCCGAACTTTAGGTTCCGAGTCGAAAATGAGCTTCCCAATAACATCAATGTCATCCGGTTCCAACATTCCTGCCTTTCGAAGTAAATTTACCAAATCAACCGCATTTGACCTAACAGCGGCATCAGAATCTCTTGTGGCGATTTCGATAATACGAGGTCTGAATCTTTCAATAAATGTACCCATTCTTGGAATATTGTTCGAGTTCTTCGTAATTCTTTCCAACTGCTTGACCACTTCGAGTCGCATGGTTGGAGCCGCATCTGTAAGCATCCAGCCCAAGTATCGTAAATATTGCCCATCGAACCAATAGCCAGGTAAGGTATGAATCCAAAGGCCTAATGCTTCAATACATTCCGTCCTAATCTTTGGATCAACATCTCGATACCTATGCACCCAGATTGTGTCAAAGATATCCTTGAGTCTCTCTTCTAGAATTTCCTTCTTTCCTTCTCCATCTCGGACCTTCTTCTCAAACTCTGCGAGTCTACCCTTGTTGGGTCGTTTGTTTCTCTTCTCTCCCTCGAGTTGACGCAAGGTCTTCGCAGCGGTTTCTATTTGTTCTTTCGCGATCTGACAGGTAGAAGTGGCGATAGTTAAAGCAACGGCAGTCGCGGTATGTCTGAATGGTCGTAGGTTCGAAGATGACATAGAAGCCATCCAATGAAATATGCTTTCCATTAACGGTTCATCCTCATCGTAGAGTGCTCCGGAGGCATCCATTGTTCGGTTTAAGGTGTGAAAGAAATCGAGAAAAGAAGCGCGAAAGGCATGGCTATTCTTCGCTCGTGAGATCAATGGATAGTCGGATATGTTTTGCTAAGATATAAATTAGCAGGATTGACTACAAGGAATGCCAAAACCTACTGTTTGATGTTCCTCTTGAAGGTCTGCAATTCTCCCATTAACATTATCTGAATCATTAATATCATCCTCAGTGATCTGAAGATCACAACCAGCGCTCTTCAATACAAAGTTTATTAATTCTGCCACAGCTCCAGGACCATCTTGTGCGTATTTTTCTAAAAAATTAGAAACAACCTCATCGGATGATTGTCCACTCGTATAAACATCAGCTGTAAAATGGGTTAGTATAATCTAAGAACGGGATCAGAATTTCTCATGGCGCATACCATAAAGTCCTCCAGCATTACTATCTGCTATGACGACTTTCTTTGCTTTCTTGGGTCGATTTGGTAACCTCACAGCGGAGACTCTAGCATGTGATGTTGCTCCGTTGATTTTGGGTTTCTTAGCTGCCGGTTTTTTCGAAGTTCTGGATTTCCTTCGAGCTTCTCTTAATTCTTCTTCCCCCGCACTTTCTTCCTCTAGTTCATCATCCTCGTCATCTTCTTCTGCTTCTCCTTCTGCTTCTACTTCTAATTCTACTTCCTCTTCCTCTGACGTGTCATCTTCTCCATCCTCGTCGGATCTCTTTCGTTTGGCGTTTGTGGAACGAATCGCAGATGATGGCAAATCTGGAACGAATTTCTCGGGTACTTTTACGGCGCGTCCTGATTTCCTTCTTTCACCCCCCACGACAAGTGTACTTGACAAATCGTTTTCGATCTCCATAAGTGGCAGACGTTGAGTACTCATCAGCGCATCAATTGCGCATTTGATTGAGATTTAAATGAATGATTCCAGTTGTAATGACTTGTTTGGTAACTGAAGTTGTGGTAATGTTGACAATATACCTTATCGATCGCGAGAATTGGATTGAGTTGTTCGCGTTTGAACGTTTATTTTTTTTTAATTAGGTTTAGCGCCACATCTTTAGTTACTACCCATAACCCATATTCCCTTATCTTCTCTCCACTTCAATAACTTCAAATGGAGTTAACATCATGATAAATTCATGAAAAATGATAAAAATTTACAAGTGAGTGCAAAGTTCAAACGTCCATCAGTACTATCATGTCCATGATACGATAAGCCATTGCTTGCATCAACATCTTTCTTCTACCTTTCCTTGCTACCTAAGCTCCCAGCCATGCTATCTCCTTTCCCCCCTTCATCCTCTGCTCCAGGAGAGGGGCATTTGATTGTTCAGTTACTACCTCATTCAGTCTCCGCTCTATCAAGAATGACTTTCCAGTACCCACTAAAATTGATATCTCCATCCCCTTCAGCGGAACAAAAGAGTCTTCTCGTCTTTCTCTTAACTTATGGTGGAGGTCTTGTCGGTGGAGATCAAGTTCATCTCAAAATACATGTCAACCCAAATGCAAAGTTGAGTATCGTTACACAAGGTCATACCAAGATCTTTAAATCATCAACACGTCTTGTCATTACACGCCAAAGCTTACAGGTCACTATTGAGGATGGTGCTTCTGTCTGTTTATTACCTGATCCGGTTCAACCTTTCGCAGGAAGTGTATATGAACAGTCACAAACTTTTGTACTGAAGGAAGGTGGATCTTTGTGTTTGTTGGATTGGGTCTCAGCTGGAAGGACTGCAAGAGGAGAGAATTGGGATTTACAAGCATGGAGCGGTCGAAATGAAATTTGGGCCATGGGAAAGGATACGAAGAAAAGGCTTTTGCTGAGAGATAATGTCTTGTTAGAAGGGGACGAAGCGACATCTAGAGAGAACCTACTTCGCCATAAAATGCGTGGAAATGGCATATTTGGTACTTTGATCCTAAAGGGTCCGCTGGTTGAGAAGTTGTCTGCATTCTTTTTATCGGATTTTGCTGCACTTCCGAGGATTGGTGCTAGAGATTTTCGATCTGATGATAGGAAAGAGAGGGACAACGAAATCGTTATATCAAAACACGAATCTTGGAGAATTCGACGACTTCGACAAGAAAAGGATGAGGGCATTCTTTGGTCTGCTGCCAAAGTGAGAGGATGCACAGTGGTAAAATTTGGTGCTCCAACTGTTGAAAGTGGTCGGGTATGGATTGGTGGTATGATTAAAGAAGAATCCAGTATATCTGAAATCTTTGGAGAAGATTCATTAATGTGTGTCCGTTGATGAAAATGATGGACCTGAACTGGATGGAAATTGGTCGAGGTGTTCGGACTGATATATAACAATAACGGCCGTCTCAAATCTCCATGCGAGTGGCAATCTAGAAAGTGTGTTTTCGATGTACTCGACCATTGCCTCGAACTAGTACCCACTAATGGATCTCCTCCTGTTTATGCTGCTCGTGAGACGTCTTGAAACTTAGGGGATACAAACGGACTTGCAATGAACAAACATGCTTTGACAACATTTCTGTTTCTGGTCTCGACGTTACCAACCAAATCCAGGAACACATACAATATCGATGCCATGATGAGGATTGTTGATGCATATATAGCCAAGCCTTTTGGGGTTTCCTTACTAGCCATCGATTTAAGTTTCCCATGCTTGTTTTACATTATGCAGCATCATTTGGAGGGTTAAAAATGAGACAGAGGATACTCGTATCCAGGGACTTTTACGAGTCGCACCGGAAGAATACGGTCACTGCACCCGACTGGATATTCATGAAAGGCAATGCTATCCGAGCATTAGTCTTTTGCCATCCGATGCTTATTCCTGGGTTCTTCGACTAGCTCATATATAACACGTGATGATCGCCGTCGTGTCTTTCCGCCTTTCTTTTCTACCATGAACCATTTTCTGACACATTATCACATTGTTTGTATTTCGGATCAAACAAAACAAACACAAGATCATTGCCAAAGAAAATGGATAAGCCGTAAAGAACGTTCGTTGTATAGGTTAGTCGTGTCAACGAAGAATCGAAGATCTCCCGATCCACCCACACGCTTGAACCGCTTCGGTCCTTGATATAGCTTTGGGCACAGGTTAATTGCTTCGAACATTTGCGACTCGATAAGGTTCAAGTCTCAAAAGTTTCAACCAATTGGGTTTGTGCTGCTGCTTGAATATGGAAAAGATCTACGATTTGCAATTCTGTGATTAGCTCGAGGGTCTCAAGTATCAGATAACCAACAAAAGCATTGTTTTCCAACAAAGATTCGAGACAGAGTTTCTGAATCAATTCCAGGTTGGCCTTTCTACTCCACTAATTCCACATCTTCGCTTTGACGATTTTTCATTGGCAACCTCGGGATGTTCATCAAGCTTAATCCGACTTCAAAACTACTTTTGTACTGTCCTCTTTGGTCAAATGCTTTACATTGGATGACTTCCAACACATGCATTTTGAGTTTAATATTGATGATTCTAACAGGTATTGAACGTTAAGCTTTTGAAAGTATAAGTTCAAGAGCTAGCAGTTCTTCAATCGAAATTAGTCTAGTGACAAACTTCAAACGGGGATAATGTTTTGAATGTCTCAAATAATCAACCTTGCCCATATTAGTTTCCATCTCTCCGGTTGAATGTGGCTTTGGAAACACGCACAGACGAGGTCATAGGAAGAAACGTGAACCCTGTTTGACTATACCTCCAAGAAGTATCTGAATGCTGATGCGACTCGCCAAGGCGAAAACACATCCTGTTTCAATCATTCTCGATACTGCAATCTTTAATCAAATTGTTACTTAGACCCTGGAAACTTCTCCGCATTCTGTTTCGTAACCTAGGCCAACTCGCCTGGATGTCAGCTTTTGTTAGGACTTCAACGTGACAATAATCTATAGGGTTTGGACCATCTCATCCAGTGTGGTTGATTCATCATCCGGTCGTTGCATTTCACTCCACTATGTTGCCGCTGTGTTACCGCTATGTTGACAAAATAGTTACTAGGTAGACCTTTAATTATTTGTATCCACATTAGCTCGGATAAGCTCTGTGCTTCAGGAACGGAGACTAGACTAAGCACAGACTTCGCATGGCTTCCCATTGTCCTCCTTTCTCCTTCCTCCTCGCCATTGAGTCGACTATGGAACTTTAGACTTCTCTTGGCAGGTTTCTCATGGATGCCGCCTTCCGTGCTATGGAATTTGGTCTGATCATAGAACTTCGAGTACTTTGAAGTTGATTTGCGCATGATTGAGAAAGTATTAAAGGAACTCAATATCCCTCAGTTTACAATTCTCTCATCAGCATCAATACCTTTCCAGTTCTTTCCAATCTTCCAATTATCTTTCCATTCTTCAGCCGCATACTATTGACTAGTATCCCGCCTCATACAATCTTTAACATCTTTAATTTTTCAATAACCCTTTAAAAACCAACCAACCAACCCCACAGCAAATATGCGTTATACTATCATCGTCGCCGCTCTCGTCCCATTCGTTGTCGCTCATGGCAAGATCGCAGTCATGGTTAGTAATCTATCTCATACCTTCTCACTCTCATCTCTTCCATTCCATTCATCATTCTCCACTTTCAAACATTCTTACTAACTCATTACTTTAGACTGGTGATATGGGAGGAAACACCACTGGTCTTGGTATTCAAGGTGCCGTCATCCCTGGTGCCGGAAAGAACAAGCAGACCGAGGTCGATACCACCGTCTTCAACAGCAAGAACGCCGCTACCGATGGTCTCGGAAAGACCAAGACTGGTGCCAACACCATGTCTGATATGACTGCCGTCATGGCCATGTCCGGTTCCACTCTTCCTCAAGTTTCCGACGGAGGTGACCTCAGCGGAACCATCCACATCGTTACCACTGATGGAGCTGGTCCATACTCCGCCATCGTCGACCCAACTGCTACCGGTACTTTCTCCGAAGGCACTCAAGCCAAGGTTACCACTCAAGTACCAGGTAAGAAGGGAAAGATCGCCGCACCCAAGCAACGTTCCATCATGATGAGATCCCTCGTCAACATGGGTATCGTCAAGCGTGCCTCCAACGTCAACGAGGATTACCCCATCAAGGTTGCCATTCCAGCCGGCATGACCTGTACCGGTACCATGGGTGGTCAAGAGAACGTCTGCATGGTTAAGCTTGCAAACCCATCTGGCGCTGGACCATTCGGTGGTGTCGCCGCTTTCCAGATGGCATCTGCTGCCACGGCTGGTAACTCTACCTCCGCCGCCGCCAAGCGATCCATCGGTGCCAAGTTCCGTGCTTAGATTCTTCAATCTAAGATTACGGCGACTGCGGGATCATGCCAGGAGTTGAAGGATCAGATTGGAATTCGGGGAAAGAGTCTAGGGTGTGGGAGAGAGCGTGGTGGAGATTTTCTTTTATATTGTGGATGGGGTCGATTGGTTGTCGGAAAAAAAGAAAGAGATATACTACTCTTGCATTTTTATATTGTCCTTAGTATAGCCACTCCTTTATAAACTTAATGTTGATGCTCTTTGCTGGTCAAAAACATTTACATTTCTCTGATTGCTTTTGTTTGTGAGGTTTATGTGATAACTCTTCTTTTGCTTTTGATTTCTACTGGTGATTCTGTGATATTCAGTTCCCTCCCCTCTTTTCATTTCCTCATCTCTGCTTCACAACCTTCTGAGTTCAAAGGTTATAGTTTTTGATTATTGAATTTATATAATAAATCTTCTTCTGCTTTTAATTCCTCCAGTACTAGTGATTCTCTGATATTCATTTCCCTCTTCCCTCCACCACAACTCTCCATTTAACCTCAACTTCTACCCATTTATCTCCACCTCACTACCTTTTCGTCTTCAAAAGTGTCCCTATTATTCATGTATTACCGCCTCCTGCCCCCAAAAACCTTAAGTGACAAGTCTTATATACACTTCAATAATCTTCTTCTTTTCTTTATATAGTTGTATAAATATCCCTTGTAAATCTATGTCCCCCAAAGATGTATTATTAGTTATTCAATTTGCTTCAGAAATACTCGAGTAGTCACGGTAGAATCTATTCTCTAATAGTATTACTAGTATAGTAATAATAATAAAAAGGAGATGGATTTTGTTATATATATTGAAAGAAAAATTAGATATAATCTATAGTGAGAGAGTAGAATCTAGAATCTAGAATAGAAGAATAGAATATATAATAAAATAATAGATATAATAAGAGAATAGAATCTAATTATATAAGAATGGATTCTAAATAGTATAAAAGTAAATTAGATTCAATTTTAGTATAAGAGTAATATACTATATATAAATATAGTCACCTATAAGGAATTCTCAAGGATTCAAGATCTCAATATTATTTGAAAATCCAGTCAAACAGTCTAAAGAGATCAACAACTAGAAGATATAATCTAATCA